GAGGTGAGGTATAAATCACAGTGGCCAAGGCAGAGTGTAACACTCGCTCATAACACTCTGGGAGGGAGAGCATAAGATAAATGAAAAGGAAGGAAACTAACAGCAGAGGACAACTACAAAAGTTCACAAGGTAAAACAAAACTTGACAGACAGACTAAATAGATAGATAGATAGCTAGCTAGCAAGCTAGCTAGCTAGCTAGCTAGATAAATAGGTGTATATGCAGATAGACAGACAGACAGACAGACAGACAGACAGACAGACAGACAGACATTAATAGATATTAATAGATATTAATAGATATTAATAGATATTAATAGATATTAATAGATATTAATAGATAGGTGTATATGCAGATAGACAGACAGACAGAAAGATAGATAGATAGATAGATAGATATAGGTGTATATGCAGACAGACAGACAGAAAGATAGATAGATAGGTGTATATGCAGACAGACAGACAGACAGATAGATATATATATATAGGTGTATATGCAGACAGACAGACAGAAAGATAGATAGATAGGTGTATATGCAGACAGACAGACAGACAGACAGACAGACAGATAGATAGGAGGTGTATATGCAGACAGACAGATAGATAGATAGATAGGTGTATATGCAGACAGACAGATATAGATAGATAGGTGTGTATGCAAACAGACAGACAGACAAGAGAGGAAGATAGATAGGTGTATATGCAGACAGACAGACAGATAGATAGATAGATAGATATAGGTGTATATGCAGACAGACAGAAAGATAGATAGATAGATAGATAGATAGATAGATAGATAGGTGTATATGCACAGACAGACAGACAGATAGATAGATAAACAGATAGATAGATAGGTGTATATGCAGACAGACAGACAGACAGACAGACAGATAGATAGGTGTATATGGAGACAGACAGACAGACAGATAGGTAGATAGATAGGTGTATATGCAGACAGACAGATAGATAGATAGATAGATAGGTGTGTATGCAAACAGAGAGATAGAGAGACAGACAGACAGACAGACAGACAGATAAATAGATAGACAGACAGACAGACGATAGATAGATAGACAGTTGCTGGTTGCTGCCGTGCGTTTTGAGTTTGAGCTCCGTCAAGTTAATTCTTTGTCATCTAATTTTTTATCTTAAAATTAATTTTATACACCATCATTTTCGTTTCTATAAAGTGTGAATATATCCCCTATCGTATTCTACAACAAAAACAATCAGAGCGCCTTGTTATCACTAGTTCTATTTTTGACTTCCCGAATCCGCTATTAGCATATAGCTCGCTAGCATCGCCAGCGTGGTAGCCGCTAATCTCGCTTACATTACTAATACACTATTCACTGTTACCTGCTTTAATGGCGGATGTGTGTCTACCTTTGAGTGCAGGTGAGGACACGTTCGAGCTGCATTCGGTGCAGCTCGAGCTGGAGGCTGTGGAGAAGCAGATCCGCGAC